ATCCGTGAATCGGTCCAGGTTGCTTCCCCTCCACACACACTTCACACCTACACACGCATCATGTTCAAGGACCGGGGAAGATGAAACTGGGCTTCGATTCACGAACACAAACAAACATACACATAAATACATACTTCATGTAAATAAATATAAAAAACTGGTCATGGAATCCACCACAGAGCCACCACCACACTATACAAATAAACACCTTCCAAAGAATGAGTGGCACTTTCTCAGGATTGCGGACCAGGCTTTTTATAAACACTTTTGTAAAAAACGTATTTTCTGTTCTTCTATATGTTGGATTCCAAGATGGCGACTCGATACGGTACATTTGCGTGTGTGTTGAGAGTGCCGCCGTGTAGTGTTAGTGTGGTGTAGTGTAGTTATTTGGACACAAATAATTTTAAAGCTAAGCAAATGCAATCCCTGCTGCAGAACTTTTCCCAGTGGGACTGATGGTGCATCACGGGAAACGCTTCTAACGTAATATTATCCACAAATGCGATTGTTTGCAGCAGCATTGAGGATACTTGCCACTTGGCTTTCTATCCTCAACAGGAACGGGACCAATGAGGAATAAATTCCAACTGTGTGTGTGTCTATGCCTGTTAATTGGCTTCTTTATTAGTTTATGTATGTACATGTGCTAATGTCGAGATAAATGTATTTTGTAGAGCAACAAAAAAACAAAAATACGAGGATTTCCTTCCTTACACCTTGCCACGGAACTTGTGATACTTGTCGTGATCCTTGAGCAGCCTGGTGTACATGTTCGCCCCCGCTGTCGTGTTGTGCCGCAGAATGAACTGTCCGGACCGGTGGTCGGTTATGCCAATCAGCTCGTGGCACACGCGCTCCATATTCACTTTGACCTGCAAATTAGAAACGACATGTCAGCCTCTCAGTCTGTTTCTCAACGGAGAAAATGCAATACCAACCTTCTCGAAAATGGTGGTTGGGCGCTCCGTTTCCACCATTTGATTGATGGTGAATGTCAGAAGGAACGGGGCGACTCGCTTCAAGGGCAGCGACTGTGTGGCACCAATGCTGGCCATCACCGTCGCCAGCTTGAGGCCCAGCTCGGCGAGTCCGTCTAGCTCCGACTCGGTGAGATCCTGGGCCCGCTGTCGGCCGGATCGATAGCCGACAATGGCCTTGATCAGAGTCTCACAGACGGCGGACAGCTGGCCAGCCCGATCGGACACCAGATTCGAATGCTGGCGCAGCAGCACCACACAGGTGTCAGTGAGCGCCGCGTAAAGTTGGCTAAAGTCGTTCCAGCTGCCGCCGCGCTCGATGAATTGATCAATGGCCACCACGCTCATGGTGCCGAATAGGTATTCCATGGACTCGTTTGTCAGCGGCACTGTCCGGTTGTTGGCCAAGTGGCGCTGAGCCTCCAGCAGGATGAGGGCGAGGCTCTTACTGTTGTGGCAATTGTCCTTCAGGCGTCCAGCCACATTGGTGCTGACAATCTCAAAATGTTTGTTGATCATCTGCCAAAAGGGCGCCAGGTTATCATCAGTTATAATTGAATGGGGATGGGGATCTATAGCCAGTGCAAACATGACTTACCGCTCCCTTGATGGTGCTCACAGAGCACTTGGCAATGAAGGATAGTATGGTTAGGACATTCTGAAGTTCAATACGCTGGCTCGGGTTCAGGGGCGAGGGTAAACCCTGCACCTCTGAGGTGAGCGTGAGCAGCAGCACCAACAGATCCTCTTTGGTCTTGTAGCCAATGATGAGCGGAAAGGCCAGCTCCAGGCAGTTGACATCCAAGGCCGCAATATCGCCGGCAGCTATATCCGCGTAGAGCTGCTTCCAATAGCTGCTCAGCACGAACTCTACTTCGTCTGGATCAAAGTGCAGCTTCTGACGATGCGAGATGGCCACATTGAGCAGTCTCAGCGCATGGGGATTCTTGTAGTTTAGCTGCACAAAGAAGGGAGAAACCTTTATTAGAGGGCGTTCCTCAGAATCAGGCACGAGCGACTCTCACCGAGTGTCCAATGTAGATCTTGCAGATACGTCTAAAATCCTCATTTATTGGTTCCTCCTCCTCCTGTGCCACCTCGGCTGTCGGGGTTGCCCTCTTCTGCTTGTCTGCCCGATTTATGCAGCTGCTGACATAGGTGCCGTAGCTCTTGATGGTTTCATCCACAAATTGTTTGTAGTCCGACGTTTCCTTCTTCTTTGATGGCCGAAACTTGTGCGCCACAATCTGGCCAAAGAGCTCGAGCAGCGGCTGCACCAGTCGCTGCATATGCTTGGCATGGGGTCCTGTGGCGGCCGCTGTTGTGTCAATGGCCAGCAGCAGGAAACGTAATGCATCCGCGGGCAGCTTCTTGGTGCCGCCTAGCTCCTCCTTAATGTACTGCGAGCAGCTGTTGAGGAACGCCTCGCTGCCAGCTGCATGTAGGCGGATGCAGCGAGCAAAGAGCGTCTCGTAGAACTTCCAGCCAGTCGCCGAGCTCGTGGCCACCAAGGACAGCAGCTCGCACAGCTGTGGAAAGTGGCTGCAGATGGCCAGCGGCTGACCAAAGTGCATCAGATCTGTTGAGTGCAGAGAGAGAGAGAACTGATTGAAGAATTGCCGAAGGAATGAGCTGCTACTCCACTTACCTATCAGCTGCTCCAGCACATCCATGGCCTGCGCCTGCTGTTCGCTGCGGCTCAGATCATGATGGAGGGCCAACAATGTCAGCCAGAGACGTGACTTAATCTTGCCGGGCAGCTCGTTGTGCTGGTGTCCTTGCAGGAACTCAATCAGCTCGTCGGCTGGGGGCAGCTGCAACTCCTTGCGGGGCGCTGCCTTCTTGCGAATGGTGGCCACCAGGTGGGCCTCCTCGGGCAGCTCTTCCAGCTTCAGTTTGGCCAGCAGCGAACCCTTCACATTGGCTGCCCGCACAGCCGCTGCATAATCGCTCAGTTGCTGGAGACAAAGCAGCTCCACGCACTCCGCATCCTCCATGAGCGTGTCCCGATCTATGTCGCTCAGCTTTTGTTGGATGCGCAGCTGCTTTTGTTGACGCGTAAGCATGTGCAGCTGCTGCTTGCTGACCACATCGGCCAGAGCCTCCTCCGCCAGCCAGCCGCTGTCGACCAGTTGCTGCTCCAGGCGCTGCAGGCGCTGGCCACAGGCGGTCTTGCCGAAGTTAAAGACCCGCTGCTGGATGAGCCGCCACTGATCGGGTGGTAGGAAGTTGCGGCGTCGCTGGGTGTGCGTCCGGGGCTTGGCGTCCGTCCAGTAGTGGAAAAGGAGCACCTCGTAGCTGCTGGCCCACTTCAGGCACTCGAGAAAGGCGTCCATGGAGCGACGACTGTGCTCCTGGCTGAGCAGCAGGCGTCCAAACCGCTCCAGCAACTCTGCCGTGCGATTCATCTGTTCGTCCACCTCCTCCAGATACAGATGCAGATGCTCGGTGAGGCGGGTGCCCTGCAGATACTGACAGAGCATCGCGACGATCAGCTCTCGGGCAAACTCCTGGTTCGCTGGCAAAATCTCCGTGGGTGGCGTGTCCTCCAGCAGCTCCACCAAGGCGTGCAGCAGCGTCTTCCAAATGACAATCGACGGCTTCGCCTTGAGCAAACCGACCAGCCCCGAAAAGGCCGCACCGGCCGTATGGCTGGGCCAGAAGTGTGCCAAATGCTTGAATTCATCGCTGCTCTGTCGTTCGGGCTCCGACACGCTTACCGCTGGCCCGCTGTCTGCAAAGATCAGGCTGATGAAATGCTTCTCCGCGTCGTCAAGGTCTTCGCTTGTCGATGGCTCCGGCTCCGTCTCGCGCTTCCTCTTGCCGGGCGCCCCTGTCGCTGGCAGCTGGTATTTGGCCAGCCAATCCTTGAGCGACTTGAGCAGGTTCATAATGAAGCGCTCGGATCGACTCAGACGCCGAAACATGTCCAGCAACAGGACGAGGTACGCGGAATACAGATGCTCCTCCTCGACGGTCTTCTTGGGTGCCGTCATCATCCAGATGGTTATCTGGTAGCTGCTCGACTCGAGCAACAGTGGATTCAGGCGCAGTGCAGAGCACAGCACCATCAGCACTGGCCGCAGATGCTGCTGCTTGTGTGCCTTGACCAGCCGCAGCAGTTGCTCCGATACATACACAAAGGCACTGACTTGTTTTCCATTTTTCTTTTTCTTCGGTTTTGGTTTTGCCTTTGGCTTTGTCGTAGTCTCTGTAGTCACATCCATTGCATCACTCTCCTCTTCAGATGATTGTCTTGGGTTTGTGTCTTCTTCATTGATCGTCTGCTGCTCCTTTGCCAGGGGAAATTTCAAGGATACGTCGTACTTGCGCAGAGTCTCCAGCAAGTAGGCAACGAGGATCAGGCTGTGCTGTGGCCCGGCGTCAGATTTCTTTTCGAGCACCATGCGAAGGAGTTGGGAGAGAGTGGCTGTGTTGTAGCGGTTGTTCAGCACGCTGCACTCGAGGAGCAGCAGCACCACGTGCAGAGGCTGCTTGGAGATGCGTTGCAGACAGAATTGGCCTTCGAACTGCTTCTCTAGGCCGGCCATCTCCTCGATGCAGGATGACTTCAGGTTGAGGATTAGCTCTACCAGGGGACGCACCGTCAGCCCATCGTAACAGTGTCGAAGCATGCGGACCTTCTGGGAGCGGCGAGCGATCTCAGCCAGCTGCTTGATCATGGCCACAACGATTTCCGCGTCCGTTTGCAACTCACCGGCATGTCCTTCAGCTCGTAGCTTCAGACATCTTTGCTGGCAGTCGAAGAGTGTGCCGTAGCAGCGGCAGATTAGTGGAAAGTCCGCTCGCAGCACATCTTGGAGCAGATCAAAGTTGAACATGCTCTGCAGCAACTTGAGGGCAGTGTTGTCCAGACATTTCGCGGGATCAATGTTGTCCAACAGCGCCTGGATCAATGAGGCCTTGCAATCCTGGCTGACCATGCCCGGCTGCGCACGCAGCTGGAACAGTCTCATCAGTTGGGCCACCGGCAGCTCGTTGCCGGGCAGGGACTTGGCCAGCCATTCTATGAACACTTCGTATTTGTTCGGATTCGTGTAGTCCACAGATTGCCACACATTCAGGCCAAACTCTACACGTTCCGGATACGGGGTTGCCTCGTCCGTCAGCCAGGCAATACATTCTGCACAATGGTACATGTTATTAAGTGTAAAATTCCGCAATAAGCGATTAATCTTACCTTTGCCTGAGCCCATGTTGTTTACTAACCAAAAGGCGCACGTGTGCCGCGCGACCAGTGTTGTTCAGCGCTGCCTAACAGTGTGACCAAGTTCGAAGCACGAACAGCTGTTGGGATTTTGTTTTCATTTTTAATTCACCTGAGCTGTTGCAGTTTTTGTTTTTTTTTTTTAATCTTTTTCGTACGGCTGGGGAGCTTTGGAAACACAGTCAACACGATGATACTACACTGTACAAGACTGACACAAGGCCCATCGAGCCTACTATTATCGAGAATCAACAGAGCTGGACCCGCTCTGAATTTGTACAATTCGTTGACGAGACCGCTGTTACGACGATACCAGTTCAACCTCCGGCCACCGCCTGGAATACCACAGCAAGCGAAACAGCGAACAACAATCCTGAGCGGTTGGAGTGGCAGTGCCTGTGCCGGCTTTGGCTCCTCTGTTCCAAGCCTGCGACGCGGCCTGGCACAAGGCGGCAAAGTGTTGGTCAAAAATGTTAAGAGTGCCCCAGCACAAGCCCGTTTTAAAATGGGCAAGTCCGAGATTGGGCGTCTGCTCGCTTTGGTCGCATCGGAGAAGTGGGTGCTCCTAGGTAAGCGAGCGCATCCCATGGCGTTCACACAAACCTCTGGATAATAAACCACATTTTCATTTGCATTTTGACAGCTGGTATCGCCTGCCTAGTGGTCTCCTCGGCCATCACCATGTCTGTGCCGTACTTTCTGGGAAGGGTCATCGATATGGTGTTCAACAAAACCGGCATAAACAACGATGCCCTAGAAGGACTACAGCAGTACTCCTTGATGCTATTCTTTATCTTCGTTTTGGGAGGCCTGGCCAACTTTGCCCGTGTCTATATGTTTGGAAATGCCTGTAAGTAGAGAGCCAGCATAAGGATTCTCAGTCCAGAACCTGCAATCTCCCTCACTCTCTATCTCTATCAGCTCTGCGCATTGTGCGCCTACTCCGCTCTCGCCTGTACGAATCGATGCTCATGCAGGAGGTCGGCTGGTTCGACACAAAGGGTACCGGGGAACTTATCAATCGACTGAGCAACGACACCTACATGGTTGGCAATTCACTGAGCCAAAATGTCTCCGATGGCCTCCGCTCTGTGGCCATGATTACCGTCGGTAGCGGCATGATGGTGCGTAACCCGTAAACCACCAAACTGCCATGTTTCCCCATCCTAATGCGCGATTTGATTGCAGATTTACACATCGGCACAACTGGCTATGGTCAGTGCACTTGTGGTGCCGGCCATGGCTGGCATGGCCATTGTATATGGACGCTACGTGCGACGCATCACCAGAAAGGAACTAGACAAGTACGCAGAGATAATGAAGTATGCCGAGGAGCGTTTCGGCAATGTAAAGACGGTGAAGACTTTCTGCCGCGAGCAGCAGGAGGTGGTCTCATTCGATGAGAAGCTAAATGAAGCACTGAAGATTGCCTACCAGGAGACACGGGCGCGATCGATTTTCTTTGGTCTGGTGAGCCCCACTTCTATTCCCAGTCCTTCCATGTCGTTGTCTGACCTTTATGCATTCCTTAGACCGGCTTCTCGGGCAACTTTATCATCATATCTGTGCTGTATTATGGCGGCACCCTGGTACTGGACAATGCGCTGAGCATCGGCGCCCTCACCTCCTTCATGCTGTATGCCGGCTATGTGGCCGTCTCCATGAACGGCCTGTCCAGTTTCTACAGCGTACTGAACAAGGGAATCGGCGCCTCGGAGCGCATTTGGGAGATTCTCGATCGGAAGTGCAGCATACCCATTGACGCGGGCCTCATGCCGGCATCCAAGCCCATTGGCGAGGTCGGCTTCCACAACGTCCACTTCACCTTTCCCTCGCGACCCGACAGCTACGTACTCAAAGACTTCACGCTCAGTCTGAGGCCCGGCCAGACAACCGCCATCGTTGGTCGATCCGGATCGGGCAAGACGACCATAGCCCTGCTCCTGCTGCGCCTGTACGATCCCCAGGGGGGGATGGTCACGCTAGATGGATTGGATCTGCGCACCGTCAATCCCCAGTGGGTGCGAAACAATGTGGGCGCTGTGAGCCAGGAGCCAGTTCTCTTCTCTGGCACTATACGTGAGAACATACTGTACGGTGTGAATGCCGGCGAGGACCAAAGCGAGGAGCTGCTGCAGCGCGTTGTTGAGGAGGCAAACATTGGACAATTTACCAGCAAATTGCCGGATGGCCTCAACACACTTGTGGGCCAACGTGGCATGATGCTCAGCGGTGGCCAGAAGCAGCGAGTGGCCATTGCCCGTGCGCTCATAAAGGTATGCTAGAATATTATCCTGTAAACCTCATCTAATGTCACATTTTGAACCCCCAGAATCCCACCATACTCCTACTGGACGAAGCAACCAGTGCCCTTGACGCCGTCTCCGAGCAGTTGGTGCAGAATGCCCTAGATCGGCTCATTCAGGGTCGCACCGTGTTGACAATTGCCCACCGTTTGAGCACAATCCGGAATGCTGACAATATTGCTGTGCTGGATGGGGGTCGGATCGTGGAGCAAGGCAACTACGACATGCTGATGGGCATTGATCAGGGAGCCTTTCGGGAGCTGGTGGCCAGCCAGGCATTTGGGGGTCGACCCTCGTGATTTTGGCGACTATTTTATAGAGTTTTGGGGGTGTAGGATTAGATAAGACTGGTGTTAGATTAGATGTGAAACTAGAAGCCATCGCCTGCCACACGGCTGGCTGGTGGCTGGTGCTCTTGGTTGGCGCCCTCAAGATCCAGGGGGCTATGTGTTCAAAAACATTTAAATGCTTTATTTAATCTAGTAAAATACAGAATTGACCGTGTTAAATGAGAAACGACTTTCAAATCGTATCGGAAAACTGCTTTAATTCAGATGTCCATCAGTGCTGGAAATGTACCATTTATAAAACAGAACAGTGATGGAACGCGAGCCAGTTCGCTCATAAATAATGTGTGTTGTTGAGTTTTCAAATTTTTTTATTGTTTTCGGTTTCACATTAATTTCCTCTAAACGTTCATCTTAAATCTAATAAACAGGCACAAAAATAAATGCAATAATTTCTTTGTATTTAGATTCTATCTATATATACGTCCTGTGCATATATCTAGAAGTTCAATACGTGGAACAGTTTCGCCTCGTCATCCTTCTCCTATTTCGTCATTCGTTTAGCCACTGCCCTACTTCATGGTGGGCATGGCCACGGCAGCCTGAGTGTGGGTCACATCGGTCTCGCGCCACAGCTGGGTGACGGTCTTGGTCTGGGTGTAGAACTTGATGCCCTGCTTGCCGTAGAAGTGATGGTCGCCGCGGAAGGAGCCACGTGTGCCGGTAAAGGAGAACATGGGCAGGGGCACGGGAATGGGGACATTGACGCCGACCTGCCCGGCATCGATCTCGTTGACAAACTTACGAGCAGCCGCACCGTTGGTGGTGAAGACAGCGGTGCCGTTGCCATAGGGATTGGCGTTTACAATGTCGATGGCATCGTCCAGGTTGTCGGCCTTGAGGATCACCAAGACGGGGCCAAAGATCTCCTCAGTGTAGCACTTCATGCTGGGGGTGACATCGCTCAGGATGGTGGGTCCCACAAAGTAGCCATCCTCGAAGCCGGCCACGCTGACCTTGCGGCCGTCGAGAATGAGCTTGGCTCCCTCCTTCACGCCGGATTCGATGAGGTCGTTGATGCGCTGGCGACTGGCGGCACTGATTACGGGTCCCACATCGGTGCCGGGAACATGGCCGGCGTTCACCTTCAGCTTCTGAGCACGCTCCACCAGATCGGGAATCCAGCCCTGGGCCTCTCCTACAAACACGGCCGTGGACAGGGCCATGCAGCGTTGACCAGCAGCACCGAAGGCGGCACCAGCCAATTGGTTCAGGGTATTCTCCTTGTTGGCATCGGCCAGGATCACGCCGTGGTTCTTGGCGCCCATGTTGCTCTGCACACGCTTGCCGTTCTTTCCAGCACGCTCGTAGATATACTTGCCGGCCTGATCGGAGCCTACAAAGGACACGGCCTTGATGGCGGGGGCATCGCAAATGAAGTTGACTGCGTCATGCTGGCCGTGAATCACGTTGACCACGCCCGGGGGGCAGCCGGCCTCGTTGAGCAGCTCCATCAACAGCATTGTGGCGCCGGGCACTCGCTCTGAGGGCTTCAGCAGCATTGTGTTGCCGGTGGTAATGGCCACGGGGAACATCCACAGAGGGATCATGGCGGGAAAGTTAAAGGGAGCAATGCCAGCGGTCACACCCAGTGGCATAACCAGCGAGTATGTGTCCATGTCGCGTGCCACATTGGCCACCGTCTCGCCCATCTGCAGGGAGGGAATGCTGCAGCAGTGTTCCACCACCTGGAGTCCACGCAAAACATCGCCCTCGGCATCGGCCAGTGTCTTGCCTTGCTCCTTGGTAATGTTCTTGGCCAGCTCGCCCATGTTATTCTTGATCAAAGCCTGCAGCTTGAACATGACCGCCTGACGGGTCAGGATCGACTGGCTGCTCCACGACCGGAATGCCTTCTTGTTGGACTCCAGCGCCGTTTGCATCTCATCCTGTGTGGCCTTGGGCACACGCGTCACCACTTTGTTTGTGGCCGGGTCGTGCACATCGATCCATTCCTTCGTCTTGGACTCGACGAATTTGCCATCGATGAACAGCTTGGTGGTGGGTGCGGCCGAGGAATAGGCGCGTTGTGTCAAAAAGCGGGCCTGCAAAGGGGAGAGAAGAATATACTATATGCAATCGCAGAGTGGATTCCATTTTATCTGAATTCCCTAACCTCAACTTGTACAGTTAGATGGTCTGTCTTAGGGGGGTGGGGCGATCGATGGCCTGATAGCATTGTCAAGGGGGGGGGGGGGGGGGGGGGGGGGGGCGGTGGGCGCCTCCACCGAGTGGTCTTCCGTCGGTCCGGGGGGCTGCGGAGCTCGGTCCGTGCTGACCCCTGTCACGTGCACTCGTCCTGTAACCAAAGACGCCAGTCAGTCAATTTCGTTGATTGCATATCTACTACGTTTCATTGATATGGTGCCGACTATTGTTTCTTTCGCATTCCGTT